GTCAGTCCCCGTAAGAGAAGATGCTACTAGTAGGCCAGAGAAGGCAGCGGATATCTACAGGGCAGGACATGGAGTTGGCGCCTACCGCGCTGGCAATGCGAGTGCGGGTTTCGTGCTGTCGCGTCTGCCCTCGACCTTCCTGCTCATGCTGTAGCGGAAGGCCGCCAATTGAAGTGGTGCGGGTTTCGTGCTGACACGGCCCCAGCCTTGCAGAAATCTTTGTCGCCACAAACAAAACTCGGATGGGCCAAGCCGCGTCGGACGCCCTTGACAAATCGGGCCTCGCTGCACTACTCTCGGCATGCACAAAAGACAACAATCTTGGCGGTGTATCTTTCCGAATTCTAGCGGAAGATTCACTCTCGTTTTGCACATTTCGAGAGTAGTGCAGCGAGGCCCATCAAATCGGCGGCCTCCGAAGTGGTGCGGCATTCGTGCTGACCACCACCGGCCCGATGTGTGGTGTACCGATGGGATGCAGAGAATGAGAAGTGGATACTGGCTATCATCAGATTCTAGCGGGAAAAGTTATAGAACCTCCCAGCGACGAAACCTTTGTATTCATTTCCGACCACACGGGGCAAAAAGTGACACAGGCCCCAAAATGACTTTTCGAGTCATTTTTGCACCCTGCTGGTCGTTTTCACAGAGAATAGCAAACCAGGATCCGCAGTCCATCCTCCGAGATTAGGCTGCGTTTGCCGGACTTGGCCCCAGGTTCTTCGCGCCATTTCTTTCTTGATAGCTCGCCTACCGTCTTGCCCCAACACAACGCACCCTCATCAGGCATGCGTACTAGCTACGCTGTTTCCGGTCACGTACAGTCATTCACAGCCATAATGGGGGTGCGTTGTGCTCAGGGGAAGGGGGAAGTAGCCATATAGGATTGAGTAGTTTCTCCCCTCCGCCCTTTCTGCGGAGTTCCGCTGGCCATGGTGGAGGGGTAGGGTTAGGGTTTGGTAAAACCTAACTACCGTCTTCCCCCGAACATAACGCACCCTGATATTGAACGTATGCAAGCTGTATTTCCGGTCCGGTACAGCCAAGATGAGGCTGCGTTGTGTTCGGGGGAAGACGTCCGGTACAGCCAAGATGAGGGTGCGTTATGTTCGGGGGAAGACGGTAGTTACCCTGCGGTGCAGACGCAAGCAGCTCCACTTGGACGCAGACTGGTTGCATTTATTTCTTGTTTTTTTTTTTTTTTTTTTTTTTTTAATTAAAGCGAATGAATGTTGAGTGACATCCAGCGGCCTAGCTCAGTTGGTTAGGCATGCAAGTGGCGTTCAGGAGGTTGTGGGTTCAAGCCCCATGGCCAGTGCCCACGGACTGTGATAGTCCTCTGGATACCCCTGATCAGTATTTGTGTTGGTCAGTCCTCTGGATACCCCTGATCAGTATTTGCGGGGTCTATGACCAACACGGGTGTGAGTGTGAGCGCGAGTGGGTCGTGTGTGGTGTGTGGGAGAGTGTTGGCCATAGCCTTTGCTGCTACTAGATGAAGGGTGGAGGACGATGAGAAAGGGAGGCACAGCTACTGGCAGGTCTCGGTCTTTGTGTTAGCCAGAACCCCACTGGCGGCCCCAACCCTATACCCTAACCATTAGGGGCAAGGGGCAACATGAAATCTCCCCTTCACAGAGAGAGGAAAACTATGCTTGCAGGGGTCCCCTCTAGATAGTCTTTGTGAAGAGGAAAACTATGCTTGCAGGGGTCCCCTCTAGATAGTCTTAGGAGTAGGTAGTGAAAGGTAAGGAAACAGAAGTTGAGAGAAGAATATAGAAAGAAAAAAAAAAAAATGGGGAGTGACGCAGTGCTCGGTCTACCTAAAAAGACAAGAATCGAGATTTCAATTCCAACGCCGGGGCCAACGGTCCAGTCAAGAAATGAAGGGTCTCGCTCCACTACTGTCCACTGTCCGAGTCAAGAAATGAAGGGTCTCGCTCCACTACTGTCCACTGTACAAAAACGGACAGTGGTACATCGCTCCACTTACTGTCCACTGTACATGTGCAAAATGGCTTGGACAGTTTTTAGAAACCCCCTCGAAAATCTAGTACTGTCCGTGAATGTACAGCTCCCAGCCTGCAAAATTCGTTTAGGGCCTAGTTGCACTACTCACCATCCGTCACATTTCGTGGCGGATCCGTGGAGAGTGAAAAATATGAGAATCGTGTCGAACTCGAGGCGTGGTTGCACGTACTCGCCACAAGATTTCTTCTACAGAAACGTTAAAAAAAATTCTCTCCTCCATGTCGACTCGTGAAGCCCTGCACTCTCCAGAAAGCTGTTTTGTGGCGAGGTCCGAAGACCACCCTCCACAAACCGCCGTGCACAGGCGGGGAAACTGAATTCACTCTCCACAAGTTGTGTCGACGGTGTGGCGAGCCGTCTGACACATTTTGCATTCGCGAAGTTTGGCGAGTAAGTGCAACCAGGCGCCTACTCTATGGCGGTAGTGCAACTAGGCCCTTAGTGGAAAGTCCTTCAAGGGACTCACCGTGAGGACCCGAATTTGGACAGTGCACCTAGAGTCCGGGCGGACAAAATCCTTTGGACGCCCTGTCTTGTAGTTCTATCACTGCGTCCGTAGTGAACTCACGAATTTGAGAGGTGGACAGCGGACAGTAAGTGGAGCGATGTTGCATTTTCCACTGTCCGCTGTACAATTTTTCTCTCTGACAACTGTCCAAGAAATGTCCGAAAAATTGTACAGTGGACAGTAGTGGAGCGAGACCCTAACAAAAAAGAAAATCCTTCTGCCACAAGTCACACCAGAGTGACAAAAAAAGACTGCTCCACTGCGCAACATTCTCAGGGCAAGCTGACACTAGGTACCCAAATTCCCAAAAAAGGGGAAAATGGGAACGGCCGTTTTGAGGAAATGCGGCCCTGGCCGGTCACACTGTCTTCTGAACACGCTAACGACAAGGTCGCTACATCGGTCTCTGCGAGGTGCTTGTGGAGGGAGCCGGTCACACTGTGGATACCTCAAATGGGAAATGCAATTATTCATTTTTTATAATCTGTTTTTTCCTTCTTTTTTTTTTGGGTCCAACAGGTGTCCATACGAACCTCTCCGTGCATCTGACCGCTCCGCGCGTGCTCCCATTTCCCCAAATCTCCTTTTCATCAATTGATAGGCCGCTAATATCGTGGGTTTCCAGTTTTTCTCCAATTTTGCACGGTAATTCTTAAAAAGATTGAGAATTTGCGGTGAATTTGCGGTAACCTCCAGAGGTCACCGCAAATTTCCTCCCCCCGCGGCTTCGCAGGCCGCTGACAAATGGTCGCCCCTTTTGAGAATTTGGGCAGATGTTCACCATGTGTGACTGTCCGGGAACCCTTTTTTTGGGGGGAAATGGGGATTTGGTACCTAGTGTGAGCGTGCCCTCAATTTATCTGCAGCAGGTAATGGCACCAATTCATTCGAAGAGGCTCGCCACACAGGCTGTCTAAACTCAAAAAGTTTCGACAGGTGTCAGAAAAAATTCGAAAGTCGGCCGTGGACAGTTTACCCCCCGTTCGCCACACAGGCTGTCGAGGGGCAAGGTTTTTGGTCATGCCAGGCGGACGGTTTTCACGGAAGTTGACAAAAGAGTCCCTGACAACGCAAATGCGAACGCAATTTTCGAAAGGTCGGCCGGGCACTGTCGAAATTCGGTCACCTGCAGGTGGAGGGAAACGGTTGCTGGAGGGCGGCTGTCGAAAGGACCATTTTGACACCTGTCGAAAGTTTTTTGAGCAGCAATTCTTCGAAAGTCTGTGTGGCGATGCAAAATTGTAGAAAACAGGGTTTTCAACAGCCTGTGTGGCGAGCCTCGAAATCTTTGATCAGACTGAATGTATCTGGTGCACAGAGAAGTCCCAGAGACGTGTATAAAATATTGAGTAGTGGGGCGAGGACCTAAGAGGCTCGCCACACAGGTTGCGAAAACAGGGTTTTCGACAATTTTGCATCGCCACACAGACTTTCGAAGAATTGCGGCTCAAAAAACTTTCAACAGGTGTCAGAATGGTCCTTTCGACAGCCGCCCTCCAGCAACGGTTTCCTCCCGCCTGCAGCTCAAGGAAATTCTACAGTCCGCCGCCGGGCTTTCGAAAATTGCCTTCGAATTTGCGTTGGCAGATTTCGAAAATTGCCTTCGAATTTGCGTTGGCAGAGACTGCTCCCTGACAGCCGTGGCCTGTTTGTCCGTATCTAGTCAACAGTGGCTGTCCAAAATGGCGTCTGCATCTGGTCCGGTTGTGTGGAGAAATTCATGTATAATAACTCCCAACAGTCCACCGCCTTCGCCACACAGCACCTGTTGAAAGGCCGTGTAGACTTGCCTACTTTCCACAATTTCTCCTCTCGACAGGCTGTGGCCATAGGGGGCGAAATTGTCGAGTGCCGGGCTGTCGAAAAATTGCTGACACCTCTGGAAAATTTTCGACATTCTACAGCCTGTGTGGCGAGCCTCTAAGTCGCAGCAACTTGAGAGGGAGGAACAGCTGTAAGCAAACTGCCTGTTTTTCACAGCTTCTAAACAAAAAAGAACGGCAGAAAGTGGGAAAAAAAAAAACAAAAAAAAACGAGATAAAACATCTCCGTGAAACCTCAGCTTGTCTCCACCCCGCAACCCTAATCCTAACACGATTTAAATCCATCACACCCTTACCTCGTACGCACCCATCGGTGCCGATGAGACGATTTATTTTCCGGCGCCAGCTCGAATATACACAGATGAGAGAGCGAGGACGTGGATGAGCTCAAAGCGTCCATCAGAGAAAGGAATGCAGCCAAAGGTTACTTTAGGTAGCATTCAAACTTAGCGCTTTTCCAACCTAATCTGGCCATCCTTCCCGCTCAAGTGCATTCAGTCTATGACTCCATGGTAGTCTCAGTATGAACGTGCGGCAAGAGTCAGCCACCACCCTATTTGCAGTGCTGGGTGTAGTATGGTTCTTCTTTCTAAGCTCGGCGCTACGAGCACGAACACGTCACAGCACTTTCTCAAAGCAACACGCAATAATACCCAATCGGTGGGTGAGCCTGACTTGCTCAGCGCGAGTACAGCTACCCATTAGTGGGATTTTTGTCCCCCAACAAGCTGCTCCTTGCTTGACTTCACAAATCCCATCCCATCCCTCAGCCGCCAACCCATTAGTGGATTGCCCCCAACAAGCTGATCCTTGCTGGACTTCACCTATCCCATCCCATCCCATCCCTCAACCACCACTCCCTGACGGGAATGGGGGAAAAAGAAATCAGGCAAATTTATCTAACAGCTAATAGAGAGATTATAACGAGTTCAAATCGAGATGGACTTGATGTTGATGACGTTAAGGGCCATGGCATCCCCTCAGAAGAGAGAGTTAAAAAGAAAATGGAAAAATACAAGACGGGTAAAAAGTGACATACAAGACTTTGCAGCAGCAGCAAAGTTTAACGAGCAGTCTGAGATGAGAAACTTTACTGAGGGTAACCTACCCTCGAGCTGCCGACCGCTCGATCACTGAGATTGCAGCCGAAAACCCCACACACAAACGAAAGGAAAAGAGCAGAGACTCTGAGAGAGAGCTGCAGACTCAAATCGGGCGCTCGAGAGCAGAAGACCGTTCTACCGGGTGTTCGAGACCAGAAGACCTTGCAGTCATACTCCCAGGTGGGCCCATCGCAGATTTTCCAGATCGAGAAACGAAGACGACAAAAGCGCCACCAAGAATAGAGGCGACCAGACAAGCTGCCACAACCACGGCAGCCATCACGCCGAGGCTGACACCTCCCCTCGATGGCGTTTTGACCGTTGCCGGTGAAGACGTTGAGAGCGTGTCGACCAACCGACTGCTGCCACGTGTACTACTCCCATCATGTCCTGGTGAAGACGATGACCCCGTGGCCTGAGATGCATCAGCTGATTGCCCTGGCGATGGTGGTGGTGGTGGTGGTGATGGTGATGATGATGATGATGATGATGATGGCGCTGGCGATGAAGATGGATAGGCTGAAGTAACCCCGGTCTGTGCGGCTGGTGTCGGGAATGCCCCGCTGCATTGCCCTAGCGCCAGCTTGTTGATTGGAAATTGGAACAGCTTGCCTGTGAGGGTCGACACGTACAAATGGCTGTCGTCGTTATCCGGAGCAAGCATCCAGATAGAGTGATTTCTGAAGACCCAACTGGCCACCACCTCCACCGTAACCACCTTTCCGCCCGGTTTATCAAAAGCCCCCCGCATGATGCTCGACCAATCATCCTAATTATCTGCGACGAAGAAAAAGTTGCATCCTTCTTGTGTCAGCACAAGACAACTTCCTAGTGGGGTCCCAGTTAGAGGAGCCACCACTCCACTGGTTAGGTCAAAGCCTACAAATGTAGTATTAGCCACAGCGTATAGGTAGCTCCCATCTTGGAGAAAGCTTCGATGACTGAACAAGAGGGTTTCCGGAATGCTAGTAGGGCATGCTCTTGTTTGGAAATCGCTGACAAAGGTTTCTGGCGACTCGCCATCCATGACGGAGTACTGAAGGCAGTCATCTTTTGCCAGGTAGAAAATAGTGCGGTTAGGATTGAATGCACCGCTATAATAGAACAAGTCGGAGACGTTATAGGTGGTTCTGGAACCTACCGTCGTGTCGATGAATGCCAGACCTGCGCCCGAAAAGCCATTCGCAAATGGCAGAACGAGATACCGCTCGCTCCGCGACAGATCGAGCGCCGTAAATTGAATATCAGACCGGAATGTGGAGTTGTAGGGCTGCCTTACCGATGTGCCGTTCGGGTTATACGACATCCACTGAAGAGTGAGCAGGGAGCAGCTGGCCTCTGCGGTCCCAGAGCTGCCAAGACCTCGCATATCACACTTGTGCAAAGAGTGACCTGAACTGACCGACCTTCGGGCAGAAGCATTCTCGCAGTAATCCGACTGCGAGTAGAAGAACACCCCCGTCTGGGAGGTAAATACCATGTTCGTGATATGTTGAGAACACTCAACGTCACCGGATGAATTACCGTAGAAATTTGTACTAGCGGTCAAAACCACGCGGGGAGGCCGAAGAAGAGTCGTGTTGAACATGTTCCAGATGTTGAAAACACTCAAAGAGTCTGCCTGCAGCTCCCTCTCTACTTGCATATCGCCAATGTCATCACACGCACTCTCCGTCCGCGCAACGGACTCCCCTCCTCTCTGCGCTTCGAAGCTCCTCCTCCCTTCTGCTCCGACTACCGCTATAACCCGTAACGGCATGGTTATCATCTCATCATTACTATCATCACCGTCAGCATCGCAATCGAGATCGAGACACGCGGCTCCATAACTCGTTGCCAGAGGACTGAAAGGACGGTGAAGGTCAAGGATGGGTTTTATAACTTTCTTAAAGGATAACTATTCAGTGTATTCACCACTGCAGAGCGGACGACGCACTGGTAGCCGGGCCGATGAACAAGCGACACGTGGACTTCGGAAGAAGCTCTCAAACTGCTGCGACAAAGAGCACAAACAGACACCACGAAGCCGGCAGTGGATGCACTGCGCCGTGATGCAGAGTCTCCAGACCGTGGCCTGCTAATCAAAGTGAAAAAAAAAAAAAAAAAGGCAAAAGAAAAAGACGGGCGTGCGTGCGGAGAGAAGCCCCCCCGCTGCCCCCGAGAAAGCAGCTCAGGTTGACCCCCGAACGGATCAGATTGCCCTTTGGCCGAGCAGCGTGTTCAGTTCTCGCTCCGTGATTCCTGTCAGAGACTATCTCCTCGAGGCTCGAACTACTTATCCCCGGCTCGTCTATGACAGGCGGCAGTGGAAGTGCCACGCAGCCGCCAGGAAAGACGGTGCTCGCCCAAACGGTAGGCCAATGAGCAAGTGATCTGAACAGAGTCACGCTGCGCAGACGGACAATTGAATGTGCACACACACACACACACACACACACACACAGAGAGAGAGAGAGAGAGAGAGAGAGAGAGAGAGAGAGAGAGAGAGAGAGAG